GTAATTGATGGAATTACCAATGCGGTGGGTATTCTTAATTTTTTTGTCGCAGAAAGTATTAAATATGTAGGAGGTGGTCGAATCTCGTCTTATATCTTTTTGTATTTAGCTTATGTATTTATTTTTATATTAATAATTTATTTTGTTTTTTTCTAACAGCATTTTGTAATTTTCTTTATTTCCATCCGGAGGGTAAGAAGTTTCATAAACAGGTCTTTTTATCTTTTGATAGCGTGTCCTTTTAAAGTGGAATTCATCCTTTGTTTTTTCCTTTCCATTCACTCGGATCTCTTCCGTTTCATCGATTTTGTCCGGATCCTCCTTTTCTTCCGAAAAAAGGGAAGGAAAAGTATCTTCTTCGGTGGATCCCTCTTGTTCCTGTTTAGCCCCTCTATTTCTTTCAGTTTCTTAGTAAGAATGGGTGACGGTATTCTGCCTAAATAGTAGACACAAGTAATAAATAAGAGAATACTAAAGATTCGAGCCATAGAATTTCTGAATTCTGACACAAGATACTTATTAGACTTAATAGAATTATTTTGCTGTATCCAGACTAATATCAATGCGTGCTTACTTTATATAGATATCATGTGAGGATGTCTCCAAACATGAAATAAGTTGTATGTTTTTTAGAAACGACTCTATTATTTAGATTGTCAATTTTTTTAACCTAAACGATCTCTATTAAATAATTAACTCAATCTAACAATAACATGTTTATGTTGAATTGGTTATAATTGTTTCGGGACCTTTGCTTAATTTTTTGTTTTTATTTATAGTAAAATGTTGATAGATAAAAACATTCCTAACTCAATTTCTATATATTTTTAAAAAATTATATTTCTAAAACATAAAATATATATATTTTAAATCATTAAAGAATAAATAATTGAGAAATAAAATAAACTAAAACCTTCAAGAAGGTTTTAAAATTTGTCTAAGTCTAGCCTTACTTTGACCAGTGTCTCGTACCATCTAGTGACTGGCTCTAACATCATTTGTAACAATTCATTGACTTATTACATATTGTCATCAATCTCATGATTTTAAAACGTGCTTATTAGAAGGAATTGTTTGTTCCTCTCTTCAACCGATGTAGGATCTCACAATCCATCCCCTTGAAGGCCCAAGGTTCTCACTGGTACACCGTCTGGTGTTTATCTCTGATACCATTTGTAAGAGCCAAAACCCACCATTAGCAGATATTGTTCTTTTTTAGTTTTCCCTTCAATGGCGTTAGCCAGAGCCTAAACTCATAATTAACAGATATTATTCTCTTTGGGCTTTCATTCAATGGCTTCCCTCAAAGTTAACCCAGTACATATTATTCTATTTGGCTTTCCCCTCAAAGTTAATATCTTCGGGTTTTCCCTTCAAAGTTAGTCAAGCCCTACTATACTCCAATCAGTAATTTATACCGTCCCGATACTATTTGTACCAGCGCAAGCCCATCACTTGCAGATCAACTTTTCAATTTTGTGGAGAAAAATATAAAAAATAATTTTCTTTATATGCTTCTACAAGATTATCATGATTTATTCAAATTTCAAAGGTTTTTCATATTTGTATCAACCCTTCTATTCAAAAATTTCAAGGTCTAAAAATTATTTTTTACTTTCGTTTTTTATTACAAAAACAAAAGATGAGAGTAACCAAAAGAGCTAGAGATATTAATAAAGGTCGTAGCAAGGAGACTTTAACAAACTGTTAGAGTCAAGCCTCAACGTGGGACACTGGGTCGGGGTTTGGTAACCTAACTGGTCGCTCCTCTCCTTTACAGTCTCGCAGCTTCGCTCCTCTAGTTTCAATATCAGTCCCTTTTTCGTTGCCTAGATTACACTTTTGGAAGACCGCTGAAGGGAATTTTTCTCACTTCCCTCCCTTCAAGGAAGTAAATCTATATACTAATTTATATAGATGCAGAATTGAATTCTAGGCAGCATTCCAAAGCTTTGATCATCATCATGATACCAATATTCCAATATTCCCTGAACTGATCCAATTATTTGTCAGTTTCTTACCGTTTGTGATGTACAAAGTGATGAATGCGACTAACTTGAAAACAGTTGAATAATGAATTGCCAAAAGGAGCCTCACAACAGGAAAATGCTGGAAAAACCCAACTGAGCCCATGTAATTATGAACAGGATCTATCTTTGCAATACAATTTGGGAACCCTTTTAAAGCCCACAATGGCTTGCCAACTCACCCTTCTCAGTAAGAAATATGAATGCTCTAATTTGACAATTGCTACCATGGCCAAAATGTGGTAAGAAGTTAAGGCAAGTGAAAAAAAAATACATAAATAAATAAAATACAGAGAGCAATGGAGGGAGTAGAGGCGAACTTTTTCAATTTTACTTTAGAACTCTGAGAAGTCAAAATTTGATGGGGATAGAACTCTTCAGTTCAATCTCACGAGAGCTTAAGAGGATGAACTGCAACTCCGTTCCGAGCAGCTGGGATTCTCCCCCACCTTCCTAGTCGAGGTTCCTGTCATGAAGTTCATATAATGTCAAGCACTGAGCAACCCGTTATGCTCCTGGCATAGCGTGTAGACGAAACATACCAAGGGCGAAGACAACTGACTGACAATTATCTTGCCAAGTAAACAAAATCCAAGAAAATAGAAGACAAATATATTCAATAAGAGAAGACAATAATGGAAGCCAGCAATATAGATATGAATCAAATTCATCATAATGTCCACGGGGCAAGGCAGGGGCCGGGGAAGCCTCCCCGCCACCTATTTCATTTCCCATCTCTGCAAACTTCAAAGAAGGTTGGCACACCGGAATCTACTGTAGAACAGGATTGAAGTTAAATTTGCATAATGATTACCTGCCCAACTCCAGCTACCACAAACCTTCCAGATTTGGCAAAAGTCAAGGAGTTCACAAACCCAACCTGGAATCAAAAAAATTAAGCCATATGTAAGCAATACACTAGACTACTACACCTTCAGCACAATTGAGGTTGAGGCAACTCCAAAAATAAATAATAGCAATGATACATAAAGCGGAAGTCGAAATCAGAAACGGGGTATTTCCAAAAGCAAAAGATATGGAAAATAGAAACGGGGTTATTTCAAGCAGAAGTCAAATTCAGAAGGTGCACGAAAGCTCTTCTTGGGGTGGGGGTATACAAGATTACAAATTCAAGCAAGTTCTTGTGTAATATATAAGCCACATTCAAGTTATTGATGTAAAATAAAAGAGAAGGATATTGCATACCAGAGGGAGGTCATATAATGGTCGAACATCTTTCTTATCACTTGTGAGAGCCCATAAACGAACAGAACCATTGCCAGCACCCGATGCAGTAAGGTCACTGTTTCTACATACTGAGACTGAACTTACCCAAGAGTGTGCCGAGGAGCTAGGAGAGGTATTATGATTCACATCCCCATTTCCTGCAAAGTAAACAAAAGTTACGATTTGATAATAATTTGACTAATAATTGGCAAAAGAAAGGCTATTAGTCGCTTTTTTTTTTTTATTGAAATTAACCTTTTAACTTTTTTTTAGTTTTAATGGAGAAGTGAACTAAAAGAAAGAATGAAAGAAATTAGAAGATGTAAGATCCATCTTGCATGTAGGATTGTAAGAACACAGAAAGACCAACTGACCAAGTGAAGATTATGAACTGGTTTGTGCATTAGTGGCAACATTAAAACTAGAAATAACCACCAATCCCTCTCCAGTCCAGTGATAATTTGCAGAATAATTGAAGAAAAATATATAAAATCCTTGAAGAAAATCATACCCATACAACCATTGGGGATGGCTCCATTTTCCTTTAGCTCCAAATTTGAGCAAGACAATGAAGAAGGATGAGCATTTCGTACAATATAAACAGGCTTCTTTTTTAATGCAGTCCAGAGCTCAATACTGCCGTTGGATGATCCAGATAAGAACTCGTCATTGCTAATAAAACAGCAACATTCCAAGGATGATGCAGGCGCACGAAATACTAAACGGGACTCCTCTGGAACCTGTTTCAAGCATCCAAAGCAATAACTAGTCAAAATATTGAAAGGAAAATAGAACTACTGCAGATATAACAAAACACAAGCATGCTGCCCGAATTAACATTAGAAAAAAGAGAAAAAAAATGCCAAGTCCACTACGAGAATCATTAAAAACTGAAAGTACTAAAAAAACGGGGGTCTACCTTCCATAATTGCATACTCCGATCACGTCCAACAGTAAGTAATCTTTCTTTCCGTAGGCAATCAATAGTCAATACTTCGCTTTGGTGACCAAATAATGTATTTATATAAGCTCTGTCCTCCACATTCCATATTTTGACAGTTCGATCATATGAACCAGAAAAAAGTTCTGAGGTCCCTTGCCTGAAAGTCAAACACGAAACAGGTCCTCTATGACCAGGAAATGCCTATAAGAAGCCACAATAAAAAGACTGAGAAAAGCCTTCGACAGCTATCATCTTCATTTTCTATCCTACTTCCCCCTCCTTTTTTCCTGGTAGGTCCTCCAAAGGGAGGAAGAGGGAAGCTTCCAATCAAAGTAGTTAAGAAAAGATAGACACTGAATTTGGGATAACATTGTCCATACTTTCTTGATATTCATTATTGTAACCACATATCCTATATTTGGGTCATTTGGAGGATCTTTTTGCAGCTTCTTTGGTTTATGTGGGATTTTTACCTCTTTTCTTTATATCAATGAAAATGGTTGTTAAATTTAAAATAAAGAACTTCAAACCCCAATTGAAAAGCACAACAAAAGAAGAATAATTTCATAAAAACCTCATATATTTATGCCACAAACCCAACCCAAATTAGTTATGGTTTAGAATTGATCTCAAGAGTTTTCAACCATGCCATGTAAAGTAACAGTAAGCAATAAGTTATAGCAATAAATAGCAATTACCTGAATATGCTCTCTTGTACGAATATCCCATATATGCACATGGCGGTCTAAGCCTCCGCTTGCCAAATATCGACCATCAGAACTGACTGCTAACGACAAAGTGACTTTACTATGCCTAGTAGCTCGACCTTGGGGATCCTTAGCACCATGCAATCTCAATGCTTCATCACTGGGCCATTGGTACTTCTCCCCTTTACCACTATCTACATCCCAGCGTAAGATGGTACCATCCTTAGATGATGAAAACCCCTTCGAATCATCCTCGGATAGAGCCACAGCTGTAACGGACTGCCTGTGCTTAACCAAGAGTTGAAATTCATCGCTAGCTACTGGATTCTGAACCCTGAAAGATGTATAATCATTAACAATTTAAGGCCACCATGCACCTCTTGTAAAATATTTGAAAGTTTTTTTACACTTTTTTTCTTTGCCTCTGTTTTTTCCCTCATACAGGATCTAAGAAACAAGCATATCATAGGAACATGCTCTCCAAGCTTCTTTGAAAACATCACAGTGATTGTTAATGTCAAAAAGCATATAGATTTTTAACGTGCTATGAACTTGGAAAAAACAAGAACAATAAACAAAATGTAATCAGCAGAAAGACAAATAAGAGATTCCAACGAAAATTAAACCAACAGAAACCAATACCGTGAAGCAATTTCTCTCCGAACCCTTCCACTATCTTCGAGCTGCTCCTGCTGAAGAATCTGTGCAACAAGTGAATCTTTTTCGCCTTCGTCGCCACTCTCATCCTCGTCCTTCTCTTTATCCTCCCTCTCCTTTTCTCTCCTCGCAATTTCCCGAATTTTCTCCAAGTACTCGCTAGCTACTCTCTTCCTTTTCTCGTCAGCAGTTTCTTCCTCAAACTCCACATCCTCAGCGCTCACGAACCCATTGTCCTCGTCTGACTCGCCGCTCTCAATCTCATCATCAACAATCTTCCTTCGTTTCCTTGGTTCAGAACTAAAGAAAGGATCCTTACTAAGTGGAAAATTCTTCCCCTTCTTTGCCCCTTTCGGAGGAGCCAAAGTTTTATTCTTCGCCATCTTCACTACAAAACAGAGAAGATACAAAGAGACGCAAATTCCTCAAGCTGAATATGATTTATTATTTGCACTGACAAAGAAAACAGCCATAACAAAAGCAATAGTTAACGGCAACTCGAGAGAAAAGCGCCGCCGCCGTCCATGTTCTTGGGAAGATAGTTTTTGTTCATTATTTGCAGTGACACAGAAAGATGAATACTAAGGTTCATGAAAAGGGTTTCTGAAGCAGAAGATGAAGGATCGCCGGAGAAAAGAAAAGGAACGACAGAATGAAAACGCACCCGCCGCCGCCGCCGCCGCTCGCGGAAGTTCGTCGGTTGCTAACGAATCGCCGAGAGAAAGACTCTGAACAGTCCTTGGGACGCTGCCGTCGCTGGGAGAAGCTCGCCGTCGCTTGTCGCGGAGGCCAGTAGCAGCGCGAGCTGAAGAAGAAAACGTGAGGGGGTGCGGCTGGGTTTAACGAGACGGAGAGGGATGAAAAATAGTCTTAGGGTTTAAGGAAATTTCTATTTAATTATTAAAATAAATATTTCTAATCTTAATCGGTTAATAAACTGAAATACCCGCCGTTTTTTAGTCTCCAGATAAACATTTAATATCTATCGTTTATTTTATTATTTTTAGTAATTAAACTAAACAAAATTAATTAATGTAGAAATTTTTATTCATTTGTATTTTTATTCATTCATTCATTAATTAAATAATATACCAATATATTAAGTAAAAAAATATTAATTTATAAGGCTATATAGGTTAGGTGAGAGAAATTTTTGAATCAATTCTAAATTTAATCTCTCGTAAAATTAAAAAAAAATTAATAAATAGAATTAGTGCTTATAAACAAAAGCAAAATGATTATGGATCATGAAAGTGTATATCCATTGTTGTTCGAACATTAATCCCAAATTTAAAACTTTTTTTCGCAACGGTATAACCATCAAGAAATTTAGAAGTGCTCATGATAAAAGAATATTCATTCTCGTCCGGTAGTTAAGATATCTCGTTTTCACCCAGAAGATCTCGGTTTAATTCCAAGCAATGGAAAATTTTGTTTCATATTGATTATTCTTAATCCATTTCTTATTTTGGATATCTTTATAACTATCGAGAAGTTTAGAGGCACTTACGACAAATAAGCATTCATTGTCACCCACCAGTTAGACATCTAGCTTTCACTCAATACACCTAAGTTCAATTCTCAACTTTGGAAAACATTTTTTCATTTGGAAAGATATTTGATTTACATAACTATTGATTATCCTTAATCCATTTCTTATTTTGGATGTCTATATAACTATCCACAAGTTTGGAGGCACTTAGGACGAAGCATTCATTGTCACCCTTCGGATATCTAGATTTCACCCAACACACCCAAGTTCAATTGGAAAATGAAGATGTAAGAACAATCATGGAAAACATTATTTCATTTTGAAAGATATTTGATTAATATTGATTATCCTTTATCCGTCTCTTGTTTTGGATATCTGTATAACCATCGAGAAGTGAGAAGTTTAGAGGCACTTAAGATAGAGGAACATCCATTGCTTTCACCTAGGAGATGTGGGTTCATATTTGATTTTCATAAATATTGATTATTCTTAATCCATCTCTTCTTTAGAGATATATGTCTCACTCAAAGACCTGATTTCAATTCCCAGCAATGGTTTAATTCCCGTCAACATTTTTTTCATTTTGAAAGATATTTGATTTATATAAGTATTGATTATCCTTAATCCCTCTCTTATTTGGGATTGATGGGTTGGATATTTGTCATTCACTTAGGAGACTCGAGTTCAATTTCAGAGGCGCTCATGACAAAGGAACACCCATTGTTCCCCGACCCGGATTCGATTCCTTGTAACAAAAAAAAAAATGGACTTATTTTTTAATCTCTATTTTCATTCTTTTTCTCTGTCACTCTTATAGGTCAGAAATCAATGAAGAGAAAATAATGAAATGAAAAGAGAAAATGAGTTGAGCATGTATGAATCAAAGCTGGTTCTATTCTATAAGCTGCACAGCTGCAATGGCTGGTATTTTCTCCCTCAACTTCTGTGTGAGAGCAACTCGAACTGTCATAACTCCAGCTGCTGGTCCACTCAGCCGCACTTTAACAACGTAATCTTTTATCTCTATCAGTTCCAGAATTCCACCCCCTGTGCCAGCCAAGTATGGCCTAATCTCTGCAAGTAACTGAAAAACCTACCGAGTTTCAAACCTCTAATCTTTTTAGTCGATGATATATATACCAATGTGTGAGATCCCACATTAATTAGAGAGAAGAACGAGTATCAGCAAGAACGCTAGGCCTCAAAAGGGTGGATTTGTAAAATCTCAAGTCAGTTGGAGAGGAGAACAAAACATTCTTTATGAGGGTGTGAAAACTTCTCCTTAACAGACACATTTTAAAAATATTGAGGGAAAGTCCGAAAAGGAAAGAGGACAATATTTGCTAATGGTGGGCTTGGACCATTACAAATGGTATCAGAGCCAGATATTAAGTTGTGTGCTAGCGAGGATGTTGGGTCCCTAAAGGAGGTGGATTGTGAAATCCCACGCCGGTTGGAGAGGAGAATGAAACATTCTTTGTGTGGAAACCTTTCACGTTTTAAAATCTTGAGGGGAAGCCTAGAAGGGAAAGCTCAAAGAAAACAATATCTAGTAGCGGTATCTAAACATATATATCAGAACTCGTAACAAACCAAATTAGCATGCTTCTTGTATCAGTTAAGTTGTTGCAAAGAAATTCTATGATCATCTATGCAAGTGTTATGAAATTCGTAACATAGCAGAAAATTGAACAGAGAATCTGACCTTTTCAACATTGTCGTGGTTGAGTTCAAGTCCTGTTTCAGTGTCTATGATCTGCTCAACTTCCAAAATTTCAGGAATTTTGTCTCTGAGTCTGGTCTCGATTCCCATTTTCAGTGTCATGGTTGAGCTTGGGCAAGAGCCACATGCTCCTTGAAGCTTCAATATCACAACAAGCCCATCTATCTCATGCAAAGCAACATTCCCTCCATCAGCCATCAGGCTTGGCCTTACTTCGTCCAACACTTTCTCCACATTTTCCTCGGTCAATGGAAGAACACAACTGGGTGACACCACGTTTCCTTACCAACACCAAAACCCATCAAATCCAATCAAATTCAAGTAAAAGTTAATTAGTTTTAGTAGCTAGTTTGTTCTTAATAGTTTCTTACTTGCTATAGTTAGTGGATGACTATAGACTATAGACTATGAACTAGGATGAACATGCACAATTTTGATTTTGATACTCAACGGCACAAGTCCATCGTTAGTAGACATTGTCCTCTTTGGATTTTTCTTTTTAGGTTTTTCTTAAGGCTTTTAAAATGCATCTGCTAGGGGAGGTTTTCACACCCTTATAAAAAATGTTTCGTTCTCTTCCCCATCTGATGTGGGATCTCAGAATCCACCCCCTTCGGGGTCCAGCGTCCTCACTGGCACTCGTTCCCTTCTCCAATCGATGTGGAACCCCCCAATCCATCCCCCTTTGGAGCCTAGCGTCCTTGCTGGCACACCGCATTGTGTCCACCCTCCTTCAAGGCTCAACCTCCTCGCTGACACATCATCCAGTGTCGGACTCTGATACCATTTGTAACGTCCCAAGCCCACCGCTAGCAGATATTATCCTTTTTGGGTTTTCCCTTTCGGGTTTCTCCTCATAGCTTTTAAAATGTGCCTGCTAGGGGAGGTTTCCACACTCTTATAAAGAATGCTTCGTTCTCCAACTCAACCGATGTGGGATCTCATAATCCCCCCTTCGAGATCCAGCGTTCTCGCTAGCACTCGTTCCCTTCTCCAATTGATATGGGACTCCCCAATCCACCCCCCTTCGAAGCCTAGCATCGTTGTTGGCACACCTCCTCGCTGACACATCTCCTAGTGTCTGACTCTGATACCATTTGTAACGCCTCAATCCCAACGCGAGTAGATATTGTTCTTTTTGAGTTTTTTCTTTTGGGTTTCTCTAGCTTTTAAAATGCGTCTGCCATGGGGGAGGTTTCCACGTCCTTGTAAAATTTTTCGTTCTCCTCCCCAACTGACGTGGGATCTTACAGGATAAGCTCAATCAGAATGTTACAAACCTAATGGCTTCAGTTATAAGCATTTAGTAGAGAAAAGAAGCAGGAAATTGGAATTTGGAAGAGAAATGGCATCCAACACTGTTACATGATCTTGAATCTATCATATTCGTTATGGATCACCGTAAAAAGCAAAATCCAGAAATGGTACCTAAATGACGCCTCCGAGTACAACTTGAGTTGAATCCAAGAAAGCGCCTGCTACAAAATTGACCTCTAAAGAACGAACTCTGATTCAAATAATACCGCCCAATCAGTTGCTTAATAAAAAATTTGCACAAACAAAACAAGGGAATTGCAGAAGATCAAAAACAGAATCAAGAAACCAACCTTGAAGAATGACAAATGGGAAGCTGAAGTTCGCTCAGACGGTGACCGATACAGAGGTGCAGTGGTTGGAGTTGGTTTAAGAGCTTGAGCTCGAGTTGAGAAAGCGGCTACCATTGGAATGCGAGCTATGAAGACTCATAAACAGTGGAATGCGGTGCTGAGTTAGGGCATTGTGTTTGGGTTATGAATTTTGCAGAAGGGAAACACAGTGATTGGGTGATAAAGATGAAGATCGTCATTGGTGTGGCCAAATTTTTGTGGATGGAAATTGGGAAGGAGAAAAGGAAGAATGTGGATAAAGGGAGCCACACGTTCGATTTAAACTTCTATGTTCTTTAAACCTTTCCTTCTCTACTCACAGTCATATAACACCGTTTTCTTCCATTTTTTTTAATTTATTTTCAAATGTATTTGTTCCATCACATTTTATTTCATCCCCGCTTTGTGACTTCGTTGGACTTAAGTAAGGTTTGTCTTCGCCAATCAAATCTCACTTATGCGAAATCCAAGCTTGTTCAACCACACACGCCACTTACGCGTGCATGTTCAATCGTTTGCGACACATCTAACTTGCCTCTATACCAAGCCAAGTCATTCGGCTCGACCTTACCTCTGCTTGGGCCAAGGTCTTTTAATGTAACGTTGCATCTCTTGTCATTTCAATCTCCATTGATATGATCTATATGTCTTGACGTCATCCCGAGTCTCGGAATGTCGTCGGCCATCACAATTTGTTCGGTCATGCCATCGAGAACGGGCCCACGTGTCGCTCATCTCATCGGGACTACCAGAACATCCATCCATCTGGGTTCTATCGAGGCATTGACCTTCCCATGCCCATGCCGTGTCATTTACAGATACCGTGCCGGTATTGTGTCCTAGCCCGCGTGTTGGAGGTTGCTACATACACCCGCTTAAAACAAATATTGCACAATCGTTGAATATGATTGTGGCAAGTGGTATTTCTATGACACGATATTGTTTAATTTGTACCTAATTATTCATGACTTCGTG